AAATTTGTGGTCAAAAGATCTGAACAGGCAGTTCTCAAATGAAAAAAAGAGGAAGCTATCAAACGGATGAATAAATCATCAATTAAAGAAATTCAAATCAAAATAACTCAGGCTCTATCTCACACCTATCAGATTGACAGAGACAACAAAAAAGGAAAATGGCAATTGTTCGAGAGTGTGGGAGAACAACACACTAATGAACTGTTGGTGTAGCAGATAATTCATCAAACAATTCTAGAAAGCAATTTGGAGCTATAGCCAAAAAATCATTAAACTGACCAAGTGTGAAAATACCACCACTAGGCACATACCCCAAGAAGGCTGAAAAGAGAGGGAAAGGACTCATTTACAAAAAAAAAAGAAATTATGGCAGCACTATTTTTTATAGTGAAGAATTGGCAGGAAACTGGGTGCCCATTGATGTGGAATGACTATAGAAATTGTAATATATGAATATAATGGAATATCATTATGACATAAGAATGTGACATATTTAAGTAACCTTGAAAGACTTACATGAACTGATGCAGAGTGAAATGAACAAAACTAGAAGAATTTTCATAGTAAATTTTATCACAAAGGATAATAACTTAGATTTTAGATATCTTATTAAAGCAGTGCCCAATCATGACCTCTGTCATAGGACACACACTCCCTCCATAACATGGGTTAGGAAAAAGGAAAAAGCCATGAAGCTAGGACTTGATAGGTCTCTGGATGTGGGAAAGCCTCAAGCTGTACCCTCCTTAATGCAGCTTCCTGGTGGCCCATCCATGTGGGGACCATCATGTGAGTTACTCCACTTCACTACTAATCAGACATATATAGAGAGAGACAGAGGTAGAGGAGGGAGAGTGACATTTTTAGAAGCTAAGTGTCACTGTACCCTTATTGCATACTCTGGCTATGTTAAAGCTAAGCAAACCTCATTTGTTAACTGTTCAAACCTGAAATCATAGGATGCCCAGTGTCAGGCCTGCTCCTAACACTTCAAGAGACTGATGCTGGGAGGGATAGATAACACATTGGTTAGGAGAGTCAGGATTCACAACGATTTTAGTAGTAATTCACATGAAAAGAAGTGGTTGGCGTTTTTTTTTTGATGGACTTCAACTTCAACATAAGTCAACAACATCCTATGGAAACAAATAAATAACCTGCCTTGAAAGCTATAGTATTCAGAACTAGAGAAGTGATATTCCTTCTGCACTCTGCTCTGGTCAGACTGTCTGCAATATTATTTTCAGTTCTGGGCACCACATTTTAGAAAGGTCATCATAACCTGGAGAGCCAAAGAGAAGCCAAGACAGAAAGGATCTGTAGTTCACACCACATAAGTCTAAGAGTTGTGTGGTGGTGCTTGAGCTGGCAAGCAGGCAGGTAGAGTTGTTGGGGCACTCTTCTCCACTCCCTACATTTTTATGGACATATGCTTTTGTTGTTTTGTCATTTCAATCCTGTCGGACTCTTTGTGACCCCATTTGGGGTTTTCTTGGCAAAGATACTGGAATAATTTGCCATTTCTTTCTCCAGGGCATATGCTAATCCTCTCCTTTTAATGCAACTTTATTTCCTTAGATATTCCCCTTAAGGAAATGGCTTTGCCCTCAAAACAGACTCTTGAAGATTAGGCAAAAATGACAGCTGCTACTCCTCAATGCCACACCCAGATATTACTGATCCATTTCCCTAGAGGAATCTTAGTAAAAATATTTCTTATGTATTGGGAAATTGCAATTGTGAATAGATAATAGACTTCTGTAAATTTGAAATTGAGATTGCATTCTGGTAAAAATACCATAGTTTTAAATCATTCTCTCTTCTCTCCTGGGATGCTCCACAATTGTTTCCTCTCAACTGTATTTGAATAATAATAATAAACAAGGATTAGTATTAAGAGTGGTTAATTGTTTTTATCACAATTTTTGGCTTAACAGACAAACTTTTAAAGGCAGAAAGGTAAACAACTTCTTAATAGTACCTCTTGGGAAATATCAAACTTGCCTTTTATGGAAAGCAAGGGAAAGGGGATGGAGGGTGGAAGAAATGAAAAATCACCAAGTTCCATCTGCACATTAAATGGATTTTCAGCAGCAATCCACCTTGATATGTCTTATGCATGATATGCCCACATAGCCTTGGCACTGGAGTGCACAAAATCTTACAATGGCTGACCTTTGCAGTTTCCTTTCTCTAGTTCCCACAGGGCCAACAACTCTGTTGCTGTCCTACTGACAACTGGATGGCTCTCTAGGCTTCCTTTCACAACTTTCCCCTAGGATTGCAGGGGCTTGCTTATCAGTTACATCAGCCCCTTCCACCACTCCCAAGGGCAGGACAAAACTCCCTGAGGGTTGAAGAAAGAGGAATGATGTGAGATTTCTAACTGACCAGCAAGCATTCATCTCCAACATCTTAATTTCCTTGGTGTTAGTCATGGCCAAGTCCTTACTACATGAAGATCACTTGAAGGAATAGGCAAGTTAGGTCTGGAGGAGAAAGGGCTTAAAGGAAATTGAGCAGATATGTTTAAGTAGTGTGGAGCATGTTATAAGGACAAGGGTATAGCCTTTTTATCTTTGGTCTGAGAATGAAGAATTAGGAGCAATAGATGGAAGCTGTGAAGATGCAAAGTTAGATTTGATATAAGGAAAAGACTTCCTAATAACTGGAGCTATCCAAAAGACATAAAGGCTACCTCAGGAGGAAGTGTGTTCTCCTTTACTTTCTCCTTTACTAAAAGTCATCAACAAAAAATGGCTGATCACTTGTGGAGTATAATATAAAGTATATTCTTGTATCATGTGGACTAGATAGATAGCTTCTGAGATCTCTTTCAACTGTAAGATTATGTGATTCCAGTGTTTAAAAATGAGGTGTTTTTTTTTATGTCAGGAACCAGTTTGGGATTATGGAAAGTACTGTTCAATATCTCCAGTAGAGTCTACTCTTTCTTTTCTTCTATTCTGGGCCCAGATTCTAGCCTGTCCAAGATGTATGTACTGATAAACCGAATCAATGGGCTGCTCATCTAGATGCATAACCTAGTCTGGATAATACACACTCTTCATCTGTTTGTTTGTTTTTCTAATATGGACTGTTCGATCAATTGTTTGAGTTGAGATCATAGATTTAATTGAGAAAGCACTGTAGTATTCTAGGCCTGATGCCATTAGCACAACAGTTCACAGTTTGCATTAGCAAACAGGAACATTTAAAAGACAATCATCCATAGTGATTTCTCCTTCCACTTGTATTCCATGTAATAAGATTAGATCTCTTGGTTTTATGACTTGCTTGTTAATCAAGAGGATCCCTGAACATGTAGTACAACTTTTCTCATTGTATAGGTAAATTTTACAAAGAATAGAGCACTAGACCTGGAGTCAGGAAGACCTGAGATTAAAATCCTGCCTCACACACTTCCTGCCTTGTGTGCCCTTGTGCAAGTCACTTCACCTCTGTTTACTTCTGTTTTCTTGACTGCAAAAATTAGGATACTGATAGAACCTACCCCCTGAAGCATGTTTGTGAGGAACAAATCAGATACTATTTGTAAAAAATGCTTACCAAAATGCTTAGCACATAGTAAGCATTATAGAAATGCTTATTCCTTCTCTTCCCCTATGCCATTCTTCCTTTTCAATGATTAGAAGAAACTTTAGAGATCTTGGTCTGGACCTTGAGAATATTAAGTAGATCATTCAAACAAGGCTCTGCTCAGTCATGTTCAAATTGTTTTTAAAAGTCATAAGCTTTCATTCAAGAGCTGAAATAGTAATAACTGCTGATATTGCCATAGCACTTCATTTACAAACCACTTTCCATACAATAACCTCTTGAGGTAGATAGTGTGAATAATACTATTATCTTCTTAGTGAAGAGAAAACAAAGGCTGTCAAAGAGGTGAAATGATTTGTCCATGGTCACACAGTTAGTATGGTAAATATTGGAGCCAGCATTCAGATTGTAGTCTCCTGACTAAGTCCAGCAGTCTTTCTGCTGGGGTCTTACAGACTATTTAGTTATAGGATTTCTATCTAAGAGAGACTTTAGAGATCATCATTTTCTAACAACAACAAGAAGAACAGTTATATTTATAATGATGACAATTTAAATGGGGCAGCTAGGTGGCACAGTGGATAATGTGCCAGGCCTGGAGTCAGGAAAACTCATCTTCCTGAGTTCAAATCTGGCCTACACACTTACTAGTTGTGTGACCCTGAGCAAGTCACTTTATCCTGCTTGCCTCAGTTTCCTCATCTATAAAATGAGCTGGAGAAGGAAATGCAAACTACTTCAGTTATGTTTGCCAAGAAAACCCCAAATAGGGTCATGAAGAAATGACTAAATAACTATAACAAAACAACATATAGCACTTGAAGTTAACAAAGTACTTTACATATAAATCATTTGATCTTCTAGTCTGGTAGTGTCAAACTCAAATAGAAATAGATCCCTGCTGGTGCATACTGACTTAGAAAACTACAAATTAACATTATCCATGCACATTTGATACTTCTGATTCTAGTCCATCACCTTTTCTTTTTTTTCAGATGAGGAAGTTGAAGTCCAGATCTCTGGATTGTTTCCATTATACTGCCCTACAAATGTGGAACCCTCAGCTTTCCAGCTTTGAAGTGTATTTCCCAGGCTTCTAGTTTAAGAGCTCCATTTTAGAAAAACAATGATAACTTTCAGGAAGGTAAAAATATACATTTCTTATTTTCTTTATGATTGCATTTTTAATTAGAGAAAGGGTTTACAAGAAGGCAAAGAAAGATAAAGGAAAAGACCAGGATGAACAACTGCAGAGAGAGTAAAGGACTTGAAAGAGTGAACAGCAAAGAAAAAAGTCAAATAAGAAGTTGAAAATAGAAGCAGGGAGGAGAGAAAGGAACAAAATTTTCTAAAGTAGTCATCTTTTCAAGGTATTTGGGAGTGAATAATAGCTGACATTTGTGTAGCATTTTCAAAGTTTAAAATTTTAATGTGTTTAAAAATAGCCATTGCATTTTTCCTTATTACAAATCTTTCATTAAATCAATTTTACAGAGAAGGAAATTGAGGCTCATAAAGGTTAAATAATCTCCATAGTCACTAGGCTAATAAATGTCAGAGACAGGATTTGAACTCAGATTTCTCCTATCTACATAGCCAGTGTCCCTTATGCTATGCCATGTGGTTTCTCTTGTTGCAAAAGTACATGCAGAGAAATTACAAATATCTTGAAGTCGGCCAGAGGTTAGCTCTTGTTACCAACAGTGAGCACTTTAGCCTCATCTTCTAGACAATAACTCCAGGCTAAACATGTAGAAAGGAGCAGATCTGTAGAAAGACAGCACAGAACAAAGCTTGATCAGAGGCTTTAAAAATTTTAGTTTAAAAAAAGAGAGAGCACTTAAAAGTAAGCTGACTTTTGTAACCACTTTTGAGTTTATAGAGTTAAAAACGAAATGTATGACTTATGGAATCAAAACAGGACGCAATTATTTTTCAACTCTGAGTCCAAAACAGTAGTTTTTTTTTAAAAATAACTTCATATTTTCAATCTCTCTTAAGATTGTCTCTGTAATTGGGTAGGCACTATTTCCCATTTGTAGACAGGACAGACAATTTCAAAATAAGTTGATGTCTGCCTATAGAACTCAATACAGACTTCTGTCTTTGTCTTTAAAGTGGCCAGGGGCATGAAAAGGAAGCCAAGAAGGGTGGGAAGCTGCAACCAAAGAAAATTGCTAAGTCTCTGATCTTCCGATGGGTTGTAAACGATTGAGAAGTGTTTAGGGTGTGAAATAAAGATTTCTGAAGTGATGTCTTGACCTCAACAAACTTTTTCTTTCTCTAATGCTTCTGCTACTTACATCTATATCCAATTCATCTGATCCCTGGTCTTCTGAAGTCAGTCAAACTTTGCTCACTTTTCTCTCTATGAATATAGATTGAAAGCCTTTTATAATATTTAAAAGAATACAGATTACAGATGAAGAAATTCTGTTAAGTAATCAGGAATGTTTCTGCATATTAACAAATTTCTCCTAAAGTTTTTCAATGAATGAATGAAGGAATTCCAAATAATTTGGTGCCTATTTTAAAGATTAGAGTCTAATCAACATAACTGTTTTGTAGGAATCAATTTACTATGTACATAGTATATTTCTCTTCCATGTAAGAATAATAACAATAACAGAAATATCATAAAACTTGGCATGCCTTATACCTTAAGAACAGCTTCTCAATATTTGAGGTTTTCTTGATACAGATATTGGAGTGGCTTGCCATTTCTTTCTCCAACTCATCTTAAAGATGAGGAAACTAAGGCAAATAGGGTTAAGTGACTTACCCAAGATCACATAGCTAGTTAGTGTCTGAGGCCAGATTTGAACTCATGAAGATCAATCTTTTTGACTTCAGGCTTGGCACTTTATCTGCTGTACCACCTAGCTGCCCCCAAGTGACTCATCCAGGGTCACATAGTTAAGTAAGTGACTGAGGCAAGATTTGAATTCACATCCCCCAACTTCAGGTCCAGCAATCTATTCACTTTGCTACCCAAACATACCTTAGGGTCTGGTGAAGGTCAAGGATGTGAAAAAGGGAAAAGTGAGGCTAGGAATCAAATTTCTGAGAATAGATATTTGGGGACTGAGGCCAAAAACAGGGCTAAATCTAAAACTGAGAAATCAACCCAGGTGTAGAAGAGACAAGCAGGGATTAAATACCATAGCAAAAAGGCACAAATTCAGTCTGAGCTCCAGGGAGTCTATACAAGCAGAGTCAGGGCAAACAAACACCAAAAGTCAAGTGACAGGCAATTGTCAGAGATCCAGGTAAACAAATCATCAGTGGAAATCCAGCAGGGCTGAATTTACTAGGAAATTTGTCAGAAAAACACCAATGACAAAATAGATTCAGTGCTGAGTTACCAATCTAGAGCTCCTTATATGTCCTCTTTCTAAGAATAAGAGTCTGGGGTGGGCCTGAAAGAGGGTGGGAGCTTCCAACCCTGAAGATTGAGGATTTAAGGGAAAGGAACCAAATACGACCTTCCAGCTAAAACATTCCTATTCTATGTCCCATTTCCATAAGGTCTGATGTTTTGTTAGTTGGCAGTGGGGGTGAGGTACAATGTATTTACTTACCAACATAAACCAATGTTAATTAGCCAATGTATTAACTATAATTTCATGATTTGCCCTAGTTAAACTATATACCTCTTTTAGAAGTCTTTTTAGGAGGAATTCTATTAGTGAATATTTGTGCACATCATGATAGTTAGTAAACTGGAGGTATTATTTCTAGTCAGGAAAAGCTTTTTAGCACGTTCCAAGTACCACCAAAAGAAATGCAGCTATGAATGTGTACACACGTGGTCTGACCTACTTGAACAAACCAACCTGTGACTGAATAACGGAATGTGATCATTAGGCACTTTTAAATTGTTTAATTATAATTCTTTTGTTATTTGTTCTTCTAATTTGGTGAATGATGACTTGAGTTCTTTGAAATGGACTACCAAACATTTTAAATGATGGATGCAGAACATTTTGAGATTTAAAATTTTCTATCTCCAGTATTTGGGTGAGACAGGGAACAGAGTGACTGTTCCTTGGTGGGCATTCAAGTGTATTTCAAAAAGTGAGTTTATTTAAGTTTTGTTTTATCTAAAACTCTATCACTTAAAGATCAAAATAAGGACCAATGAGTAAAAATTACAAGGAAGTACATTTCAGTTCAATATAAATAAGATCTTCCTAACAATTAGGGTAACCCCAAAACGAAAGGTATATTGTATATTCTTGAGAAACAAAGATTTCCTCATGGCTAGAAATCTTCAAGTACTTGTTGGGGACATTGTAGAAGAGATTCACTTTCTATTGCTAGAACAGAGGTTTTTAACATGAGATTTGTAAACTTAAAAAATACATATATTTTAACAACCATTTCAATAGAATTGGTTTCCTTTGTAATCAAATGCATTTTATTTTATTCATTGAAAAACATTATCCTGAGAAGGCAATCATAGCTTCATTAGGCTGCCAAAGGGGTCCATGACATCAGCACAAAAAAGATTCAGAATCCCTGCTATAGAGGGAGAGGTTAAATTTGATAATGTTCTCAAGTTGAGGCTGATTTAACCCCTAGCAACTGTCTTCCAGAGTAACAGTTTCTCTTAGAACAAGACCTAAAGGAGGGAGGAGCCAAGATGGAGGGTAAAAGCAGTGACTTGCTTGAGCTCTCCCCAAACTCCTCCAAATATCTGTAAAAAATGGTTTTAAACAAATTCTAGAGCAGCAGAACCCATAAAAAGACAGAGCAAAACAAATTTCCAGCCCAAGACAACCTGCATGGTTGATTACAAAGGTCTATCATGGCGAGCTGGGAGAGAAACACAGTTCAGCTTGGGTGTGCAGACAAAGCAAGCCTTAATGAACATGAAGTAGACCTCGGGGACTGAATCAAGGAGGACTATGGCGGTTTCCAGGCTTCTCAATCCACAAACGTCAAAGACAACTTAGAAGGTCAGTACTAAAAGTCTGTGACCACAGTGATCCCAGCCCCAGCTCCAGTCCCAGTGCAGCCCAGGGGTGGCGGCCCCAGAGCTCTCGGCCTACAGACTGAGGGGGAATCGAGTTGCTGATCAGAAGGGATTTGCAGGGATCTCTTTTCTGGTGGTGAGGCAGGATTCTCTTGCTTTGCCTGTGAGTGGATCTGGGTCACAGTTCTGTGTGGCGATCCTGGGGCAAGGAGAAGTGCTGGCATAGTGGCATTTGTGTTGTGGTGAAGACGAAATCCTCCTCATAGTTGCAAGGCAGAAAAGAGTGCTTGTGGTCACTCACAGACCACAGTACCAGGCCAGGAAAGGAGTAAATACCTCACCCTTGATCATACCACCTTAGAAGAACTGAAAACTTACAAGTCCCTAGAAATATCTCTGAAAACAGGTGCACAAAATCCCCCAAGCTTGGGACAGTACATTCTCCACACTGGAAGCAGACCTCTACCTTAGAGTTTATAACTCAAATAATTGGCTGGGATCATGAGCAAACTGCGCAAAAAAAAAAAAGTCAGACTACAGAATCTTTCTTTGGTAATAAAGAAGATCAAAGCATACAACCAGAAGAAGAGAACAAAGTCAAAGCTCCTACATCCAAAGCCTCCAAGAAAAATATGATTCAGTCCCAGGCCATGGAAGAGCGCAAAAAGGATTTTGAGAAGCAAGTAAGAGAAGTAAAGGAAAAACTGGGAAGAGAAATGAGAGTGATGCAAGAAAATCATGAAAAACAAGTCAATAGCTTGCTAAAGGAAATGCCCCCAAAACTGAAGAAAATAACACCTTAAAAAACAGCCTAACCCAAATAGCAAAAGAAGTCCAAAAGGCCAATGAGGAGAAGAATGTCTTCAAAAGGAGAACTGGCCAAAAGGAAAAGGAAGTCCAAAAACTCACTGAAGAAAATACTTCCTTAAAAATTAGAATGGAGCAACTGGAAGCTAGTGACTTTATGAGAAATCAAGACATTGTAAAATAAAACCAAAAGAATGAAAAAATAGAAGACAATGTGAAATATCTCATTGGAAAAAACAACTGACCTGGAAAATAGATCCAGGAGGGATAATTTAAAAAAATATTGGACTAGCTGAAAGCCATGATCAAAAAAAAAAGAGCCCAGACATCATCTTTCAAGAAATTATCAAGGAAACTGCTCTGCTATTCTAGAACCAGAGGGTAAAATAGAAATTGAAAGAATCCACTGGTCACCTCCTGAAAGAGATCCCCAAAGGAAAACTCCTAGGAATATTGTAGACAAATTCCAAAGTTCCCAGGTCAAGGAGAAAATATTGCAAGCAGCCAGAAAGAAACAACTTAAGTATTGTGGAAACACAATCAGGATAACACAGGATTTAGCAGCTTCTACATTAAGGGATCAGAGGGCTTGGAATATGATATTCTGGAGGGCAAAGGAGATAGGATTACAACCAAGAATCACCTACCCAGCAAAACTGAGTATAATCCTTCAGGGGAAAAAATGAATATTGAGCAAAATAGAGGACTTTCAAACATTCTTGATAAAAAGACCAGAGCTGAACAGAAAATTTGACTTTCAAATGCAAGACTCAAGAGAAACATAAAGAGGTAAACAGGAAAGAGAAATCATAAGAGACTTATTAAGGTTGAACTGTTTACATTCCTACATGGAAAGATGATATCTGTAACTCATGAGAATTTTGTCAGTATTAGGGTAGTTGGAGAGAAAAAAAGCATATGTATAGATAGATTGATAGATAGGTGGCACAGGGTGAGTTGAAGATGAATGGGTGATATCTGG